TAACCCCAAAAAAAAAAAAAAAAAAAAAAAAACTCTATCAGTTACAGTATTAGGTGTTCTCAATCATTTTACATAATCTCTATCAGTTACAGTATTAGGTGTTACCTCTATTAGTTACGGTATTACACGTTATCAATCATTTTTTAAAATCTCTAGGTGTTATCAATCATTTTTAAAAATCTCTATCAGTTGAAGAGGCAATTTGTATTTTCTTTTCATTTGTATTTCTCTATTAATGAGATTAAGAGTCTTTTTCTTTTCCTAGGATTTCCTTATTCCCACACTTTATCCATTTTTTGACTGAGTTGTATTTTTCTTATAGATTTATAAGTGCTCTCTACAAAGTACAAAAATCATTCTTTAATATACTATGTATGCATGTATGTATATGAATGCGTATATATCTCCGTTAAGTTAGAAACATTCTTCCAATTTTTTTTTTAACTTGTTACGTTTGTCATATATACATTTTTCTTGGATGTGCAAATTTATTCACCTTTTCCATTATGGCATCTCAAGCTAACATCATGCTTTAAAAATCTTTTTTCTACGATCATTTTTAAAAATAAAATCACTTTTCTCCTAGTACATTTATGGTTCCTCCCTTTGTCCGTGACTTTGAACCACGAGGATGTGTAAAGACTGAAGCAGAGACAGTGCGTTCTTTCTTCCAGTGGCCCAGCAGCTTGTATAGCATCCATCCTCTCCTGCCAGCTCTGAAAAGCCACCTTCACAAGCCAGCGTCAAAGGGAGAACCCTCTGCTGCACTGCCAGGCCCAGTGCCCAGTCCCCAGGGACGATGCTACTGGGTGGAAATTCATGCCACTACCCCTTCAAAGTAGAAATGAGTGTCTGCCTCACGTTACAGTCCTCTGCAAACTGTTTTTACACAACTGGCAATGGGGAATTTGCTTTTCCGTCCCTACAATTTGGATAACAAGGCTTTTGTTTTTGGATGATCTAAATACAAAAACAAGCTTAGTCTTTCATAAAAGGAGACCTCCCCACAGCAGAGGAATCAACGGAGAGACTGAAGGGCGTAGTCAGAAGTCTCTTTAATGGATCCGGAAGCCTCCCCCTGGTAGCAGCTCCATTTAGGTGTCTGTAGAGATGTGCAGAACGAATAAAGACATAAAGACGTGCTGGCCTCTCAGAACCATCGAGGGAAGGGAGCATTGCCTCAAGACCAGCACTGCCCCACCAAAGTAGAACAAGAGCCACAAGTGTAATGTGAAATTTTCCAGCAGCCACATTTTAAAACATAAAAAGCAGCAGGTAAAATTAATAACGTATCTTACTGAACATACGGAAGATGTTATCCCTTCGGCATGTAATCAGTATAAAGTTATGGAGGCAGGTACGCCCTCTGTTTGGTATGAGTTTTGCCATCCGCTGGGCTCTGGCCTCCCGCCTGCATCCCAGCTGGGACAAGGCACAGCGAGAGTGTCCCCG